GACACATTACATAATGTAGTACACTAATATAGTAATTGATTTGGTACATTACATAATACAGTACAACAATACGGTAATTGATGAGGCACATTACATAATACAGTACACCAATATAGTAATTGATTTGGTACATTACATAATACAGTACAACAATACGGTAATTGATGAGGCACATTACATAATACAGTACACCAATATAGTAATTGATTAGGCACCTTACATAATACAGTACACCAATATAGTAATTGATTAGGCACCTTACATAATACAGTACAACAATATAGTAATTGATTAGGCACCTTACATAATGTAGTACACCATAATAGTAATTGATTAGGCACCTTACATAATACAGTACAACAATATAGTAATTGATTAGGCACCTTACATAATACAGTACAACAATATAGTAATTGATTAGGCACCTTACATAATGTAGTACACCAATATAGTAATTGATTAGGCACCTTACATAATACAGTACAACAATATAGTAATTGATTATGCACATTACATAATACAGTACAACAATATAGTGATTAGGCACCTTACATAATGCAGTACACCAATATAGTAATTGATTAGGCACATTACATAATACAGTACACCAATATAGTAATTGATTATGCACATTACATAATGCAGTACAACAATATAGTAATTGATTAGGCACCTTACATAATGCAGTACACCAATACGGTATTTGATTAGGCACATTACATAATACAGTACACCAATATAGTAATTGATTAGGCACATTACATAATACAGTACAACAATATAGTAATTGATTAGGCACATTACATAATACAGTACACCAATATAGTAATTGATTAGTCACCTTACATAATACAGTACACCAATATAGTAATTGATTAGGTACATTACATAATACAGTACACCAATATAGTAATTGATTAGGCACATTACATAATACAGTACAACAATATAGTAATTGATTAGGCACATTACATAATACAGTACAACAATATAGTAATTGATTAGGCACCTTACATAATACAGTACACCAATATAGTAATTGATTAGGCACCTTACATAATACAGTACACCAATATAGTAATTGATTAGGCACATTACAATATGCAGCACACCAATATAGTAATTAATGTGGCACCTTACATAATACAGTACACCAATACAGTAATTGATTAGGCACCTTACATAATACAGTACAACAATATAGTAATTAATGTGGCACATTACATAATACAGTACACCAATATGGAAATTGATTAGGCACATTACATAATACAGTACACCAATATAGTAATTGATTAGGCACATTACATAATACAGTACACCAATATAGTAATTGATTAGGCACCTTACATAATACAGTACACCAATATAGTAATTGATTAGGCACATTACAATATGCAGCACACCAATATAGTAATTAATGTGGCACATTACATAATACAGTACACCAATATAGTAATTGATTAGGCACATTACATAATACAGTACACCAATATGGTAATTGATTAGGCACATTACATAATACAGTACAACAATATAGTAATTGATTAGGCACATTACATAATACAGTACACCAATATGGAAATTGATTAGGCACATTACATAATACAGTACACCAATGTGGTAATTGATTAGGCACATTACATAATACAGTACAACAATATAGTAATTGATTAGGCACATTACATAATACAGTACACCAATATAAATTGATTAGGCACCTTACATAATACAGTACACCAA